TGGAAAAATCAGATACAATTAGATCATGGAGACCCCTATAAAGATGAGCTAAAACTAAAGGAGCCAATGCTAAAAGAGAACCTTTAGATAAAGCAATGGCTACTTCTATCAAGTCTTTGGTAACTTGCAAAGCTGGAACACATAATACGAACCAATTAAGCCATACAAGTAAAAAAGCAACGTCTCTGCATCTTCGGCCTGAGGGGTATGCCTTTTAATAGGATCGGTTCCTTGGAAGAGGATTCACGAATTTGAAAGAACCAAGTTGGGTAGTGATGAGGGAAGAACAATCTGTTTCCCTGGTTTTCACAATGTAGGAAGACCAACATTTTTCAAAGGCAGGATCGGAAGTTGGATCTTCAATGAAAGGCTTAAATTGGAAGATTTTCTTCCAGGCTTTGAACCTTTTGTTCACAGTTTTGACAAATTCTTCGTCATTAAACTTCACACGAAGATGGAAGGTGCTATTGAAAGAAGGACACGGCGGCTGAGGAATCATCTGTCGCAAGCCAAACTACCGAGCGAGTTGGACAGGATTGTAAAATTCTACCCTAACTCTACTATTCTTGGAAGAATAGGGAGCGGTATTGTAATGGAGATCTCCATATTGACTTCTGTTCTTCCGATAATCTCGTGGTGGAAATAGGGATAGGGGAAAGCCAGGATGGAGTTTGAATACCGGAAGAAAAGGGAAGGAATTGTTGGTTTGGCAGTCTTGGTAGAAAAAAGTGAAGCAATCTTTGAAAGATTGGGGTTTAGCCATGACTGAAGCATAACTGAAAGAAATCAAAGCATCATTGGCTGAAGGTCTAACTTTCGGCCCTAACTCTAGAAAGTAAATTTGGAGCCAGAGTTGAAAGATCCAAAATGGACCACCCATTCTGGAAAAATCAGATACAATTAGATCATGGAGACCCCTATAAAGATGAGCTAAAACTAAAGGAGCCAATGCTAAAGGAGAACCTTTAGATAAAGCAATGGCTACTTCTATCAAGTCTTTGGTAACTTGCAAAGCTGGAACACATAATACAAACCAATTAAGCCATTTAAGTAAAAAAGCAACGTCTCTGCATCTTCAGCCTGAGGGGTATGCCTTATACAGGCCTGAAGAAAAGGGCTATAAGCTGCTTCATGATTTTTTGTACTAGATTCTTTGGTGGGGAAAAGGAAGACAGTATCAGGATCATAAAGAAGACAATTGACTTCAGTACCAATGGGTTTTAAGCCAGTCAAGTGACAAATATCTTTCAAAGTAGGAGCCATCATGCCACAATTTAAATGCAAAGAATTTGTGGTAGAACTCCAGAAGAAAAGGGCAGCAAAGAAGAGACTTAACTTGAATTGGTGTTACTTTGCTGAGTTGAATTGCATCGTAAATCCCAAGTTGTTTCTAGCTTTCTTCCTTCAATGGAGTCATCCTATCAACCTAAGCGCTCCTACCTTCAAATGGCGTAACCCAATTTTTTAAATTAAAAATGGGTAAGTTGCCATTTGATGCTTTTGGAAATTTTTTCAGAAAAGGAAGGGAATCTTCTACTAGAGGATAAAAAGAAGAAATTGAAGAGGGAATTTTGGAAGGAAAAGCTGGACCTACAGATTTGACATCACCAGGTAAAATAATGAAAGATTCTGGGTAGACTTGGTCAGCTGGAAGACTAGAGATAGCTTTGGCCGCTTGATGGCCATGGGTTGTTGGAAGATCCGAAGGTAGAGGTAGATCAAAAGAAGATTTTCCTTTGGGCGCCATCTGAGAGATTGAAGGGAAAGTTTTAACAGAAGAGGAAGGGTTTGATAGGGAAAGAGGAAGGAGTTTTGTTTTGAACGAAGAAGATGGCATAATAAAAAGAAGGAATCGAGGAAATGCATTTAATGGTGGTAGTTGGAAAAAGTTGTGGCCATTAAGTAAGAAGAGATGGCTGTTAAATCAGGAATTGTAATCGGCAGAAAAAGAATCTTTGTTGGATGATTGGATAAGGCCTATGCGGATATCTAGGACGTTTCAAATTTTAAAATTTTTGTAGGCCTAATCTTGGAAGATAGAAAGCCCTCAAAATTTGGGGGGCATAATGTTGGCACATTAAAGTGGCAGTCCAATGGGCAGGCACTTCAATGATGACATGGTGCAATGAAAAGGGGACAAGTGGACTAAATCATGGTCCAATGCTGAATTAACACATGTCACCATTGGAAGGAAAAGGAATTCCACCACGCTTGAAACATTTGGCAGAACGAGAAAGGCGAATATGGCAGGATAATGACAGCTGGCAATGAAATCATGGGCTGAGTGGTTTCCTATAATCAAGGAGAAGATTGGCCAAATGAGTTAGACACTTATAGAAATTGCTATAGATTACCTAGCTCAGTTTAGAAGTTCCGATCTTCAAGGAGTTTAAAAGCGGCTAAGGAAGGGTTCCTAAAAACTAGGGATGAGGAGATCATGGTTTGTTGTATATACAGAATCTATTTCAAGAAGGAATGAAACTAGAGCAGTTGAAATACGTGGTATATATATATATATAAATTAGATGAGCAGTTTAAAGAACGTGGGACACATAGCAGCACTGGAAGAAATTCATAGATCGTGGGTCTGGAAGTTAGAACTCAGTAGCTGAGCATGAGACAAATGTCTTGTAAGAAGAAGTGGGCAGTTGCTTAAAAGGACCGGGGCCCTTCTTGTAAGGCTTGAAAAGCCTATAAATAGTTTACTTAGGGCTATATTGCAAACTCTCTCAACGACATCAATCAACATTCAATACTTTGTATTTCAATTTATGCAATTTCAATACAAGTCAATTTCAATTCGTTTACATTCATGCACTTACTTTCAGTATTGCATTTCAATTCATTAGATAACATTGTAGTCTTAACTATAAGTCCTTTCATCGAAGGCAAATCCGAAACCTCACAATCGCTTGATCGTTCCAAAAGGATCTTCCTTTTCGTTCGACCTCTCTAAATCTTCCGAGATTCTGGCACGCCTGCACATTCCAAGTGTCCCAATTTTGTGGAAACATTATGTCATCAGCAAATACCATGCACAATGGAATGTCTCCTTGTAAGTCTCGATATTTCATCCCAGATTATCGTGAACAAATATGGATCTAGCGCTTACCTTGGTGTAATCCCGCTCTTAAAGTACGAACTTTAGTTTTTCTATCTTTGTATGTATCCTGTATAAGTCTTATAAATTTGTACTATGTTTTCTTCATAGAGCCAACCAAATTATATCTCTTGCAACTCTATCATGTTTTTTCTAACCCATGAAAATCACTTGTACATCTTCTTGTTTGCTTTTGCAATCTTCCACTAACTGCCTCAATAAGTAAAAGGCCTCTATAGTAGACCTTCCCCAGCATATGCCCAAATTAGTTATCGGATATCTTTTTTCTTTAATGTTTATCATATTCGTGCCCTGTCCATACCCGTATCCATGTGCATTCTTCATAAACTTTCATCTCTCCAATTATTTTTTTAATACTCTACTGCTGCTCCAACAGTCATTGTCATGCTAAAATGGAACGTTAGAGCTAGGTCATCCATCTTAAAGTATTACTCTGATATTGTTGCAATCCTTGCCATTTATTGTACTGAATGAGTTGTCAATGGCTCTTTTTTCTTTTCTTTTTTCTCTCTCTTTTGCAGTTAAGCTGAGGTTTTAATAGTTGATGCAGTATAGGCCCACACATTACGCCAATCCCTTAAGAAATTATTTTGGCAACAACATAGAATAGAAAATAGAACTCTTAATTTCTGAGCAAGTACAGTATGTACTTGTCATAATAATGTGCAGCTGTTATTGCTTGAATGACAACTTTTAAAATTATGATAACAAAGTTTCATACTGTTGCTTTGTTTAATGAGAGATATAGCGACTCATGGAAGGATGCTTATTTTGTCCTAGTCACCTTGAAATGGCTATTGGCTCTATGGTTTAAACCAAATGAATACAGATAATTTTTGGAAACTAAAAATATAAAATTACAAGAATAGTCTTTATTTACTTGAATAGGTAGATTGAGAACATTAGGAAGCTTATAGAAGTTGGATCTAGTTTGTAATTTTGAATTCCTTATCTTTTCAAGTAAACTATTTTCTGAAGTGCCTTGTGGTTGTTGGAATTTCCATGAGTCCGTTAGTTTCCATCTTTGCTCAGCAGTTCCCTTTTAGGTAGAAAAAAGGGCTAGCCCAAGGCACTAGGCTCCCACCATTGCAGGGTCTGGGGTGTGTTAGATGTACGCAGCCTTACCCCTCCACATGGAGAGGCTGTTTCCTGATTCGAACCCTTGACCTTCAGGTCACAATGGAGCAACCTTACCATTGCGCCAAGGCCCACCCTCTTGAAGGAAAGGAAAAAGAAAGTTTCCATGTTTTTTATTCTTGTAGTAAGAGAGAGAAAAAAAAAAAAGAAAAAAAAAAAGTCAAGATTTTTTCCATCTTGGCTGCACTGATTCACCTTCAAGTTACCACTTGACTTTGCGCCAAGGCCCACCCTCTTCTAAGAAAGGAAAAAGAAAGTTTCCATTTTTTTTTGTTATTCTTGTAGGAAGAGAGAGAGAGAAAAAAAAAAGAGTCAAGATTTTTTCCATCTTGGCTGCACTGATTCACCTTCAAGTTACCACTTGATTTTGTCATGGGCTTAAAACCATTTGATACAAAAAACTACCTTATCATTCTTACTGCAAATACTGGAAGAACCGATGATTTTGCAGCTGTGGCTTGTGCTTACTTAAAGTACTATGAGGGAGCTTGCTTGTACTTATTGATTACTTATCATGCTTGTACTTATTGATTGTTAACTCATAGCACTTACTTCATTGGTTAGGATGCCAGTGACAGACTTCCATATGCATTATGTATCCGTGATTCTTTATCCTTTTGGTAGGATTATCTTTCCTTTATTGAGTCTTCTTATAATAATATGGTATAATTGAATTCTTCTAACTGCTGAGAACTATGTTTGACACTACCACTGGAATTTAATTTTATTTGCATCTGTCTAGGTGGAGAAGATTCCTGTATCATTTCAATCTGAGGAGAATTATCTTGGTTCATATGTTTTTCCTTTACTGGAAGAAACACGAGCAGAACTGGCTTCCAGTATGGAAATTCTATACAGAGCACCTTTTGCTGAAGTTATCTCTTTTACAGAGTTCAAGGTCCGTGGAAAATTACTATATGATGTCAAGGTTGATTACTGGAGAAACAGATTTAATGATCGTGCCAAAGAGCCTTACAGAACGTTGCCTGGAGATATTTTTGTCATCTCAGATGTGAAACCTGTGACCATTTCTGATTTACAACGGGTGGGAAGGACCTGGACTTTTGCATCAGTCACTAACATCACAGAGGATGAGAATGAAGATGATAGCACAACTACTCATTTTAGAATCAAAGCATCAAAAGACATTGAAGTGGGGATGTGGAAGTCCATGTTTGTGGTTTTCTTGATGAATATAACAACAAGCAAAAGAATATGGAATACGTTGCACATGTTTACAAATATGAAGATTATCAAGAATATCCTGGGCACTGAATCCGTGGTAAGAAATACAATGGCATTATTGTTCCATAAACACTGGAATATTCAGTTAAATACATGGTGGAAGTGAATAATTAAAAGTCAATATAGATTATAGGATACCTAATGCATTAACAGAGTGATGACAATATCATTTTTGTAATGATTCAAAACAATATAGCTTCTTTTGAAGGGTTGGAAGAAGGAAGTAGAAAGTAGAAAGTAGAAAGTAAATGAAGTCTTAAGGGAAAATCTTACTAGTGACTACTTAAGACACATGTTTGATGCAATGATTGGTAATGTCAAGAATGTTTTCTTTTCATATAAATATAGTTTGAGAATCATTGTAACTTCATTTCCTTAAGTGTCCTTGTCTATGCACACTTAAATCTTCCTTTTAAATAAATGTGCCTTTGACTTTCATATTCTCTTTTTGTCTTTTAGTTCTCATATGTTCTATCTCATGTCCCTAGATTTTATTAACATCATGCGCATATTTCACTCTTTTGCATTGACCGAGAGCACAGTGGAATAGAAGATGTTATATTTGGAAAATATTATTATAGGAACCCTTAAATTACTCCTTGACAGAATATTTGATATGAGAATATCATAGAAGAGATTTTAGCCTATGATAGAATATTGATTGGAGTGATTTATGGTATTTATTTTAGAAATCTTCCATTAATGTATTTTCCATATTTATCATCTCTATTCTTTCACCTATAAATAGAGGTGATCATTGTATACAAAGATTAAGAGAGAATATATTATAAAGTGATGTAGCCCTTTGGGCTCTTTGTGCCGTGGCTGAACCACATAATATCCTTGTGTTCTTCATGTTTCATTTCTCTCCACTTCCGTTTTGTGCTTTACAACATTGATTTCATGGGATTTCTACTTAACATTATGGGATCTTGGTTGATATTTTGATTGAGTCAAACAGGTTGAGGAAAATTGTGATCGTTGTTCTCTAAATAACAACAATAGCCAGTTATCTGAAATATTCAGTACGAGACTTTTGTCTAAGCTGAATGAATCTCAAACCGAGGCAATCATGGCTTCTCTCCAGAAAATGGAATGTATCCACAAGACTTCAGTGAAACTTATATGGGGCCCACCTGGAACAGGGAAAACTATGACTGTCAGTGTGATGCTGTTTAGCCTCTTAAGACTGAACCACAGGATCCTTACTTGTGCCCCAACAAATGTAGCAATAAAGGAAGTAGCCTCTCGGGTGCTAAAGATGGTTAAAGAATCATTTGAAGCTGAATCTGAAAGGGATTCTTTGTTTTGTTCATTGGGGGATATTTTATTATTTGGGAATGACGGCCGGCTAAAAATCGGATCAGACATTGAGGAGATCTATCTGGAATATCGTGTTAAAAGGCTTGTAGAGTGCTTAGGACCATTAACCGGTTGGAAGCATTGTTTAAATTCCATGATAGATTTTCTTGAAGATTGTGTTTCTCACTACCATATTTTTGTGGAAAATGAATTGATCAAGACCAAAGAACTCCACGAAGAAGGTGAACCTACGGAGGTGGAATTCAAATCATTTCTTGAGTTTGCAAGAGACCGATTCAAATCTACTGCATCGCCACTCAGGAGATGTTTATTTATATTCTGTACCCATTTACCAAAGCATTACATTCTGGAACATAATTTTCAAAACATGGTATCTCTTATTAATGTACTTGATTCGTTGGAAATGTTGTTCTTTCAAGAAAATGTGGTTTCTGAAGAATTGGAGGAGCTTCTTTCACGTCAGGAAACAGTTGAAGACACTTCTGAGTCTTTTGTGGATACGTCATTACTGCTGTGCATAAGACGAAGCAAGTGTCTTTTGAGAACTCTTCGGCTTTCTCTCGAGGAACTCAACCTTCCAAGTGTTATGAACAGAGATTCAGTAATGGAATTTTGTTTTCGAACAGCTTCCTTAATTTTCTGCACTGCTTCGAGTTCATATAAGCTTCATCAGGTGGAAATGGAACCACTGAACTTGCTGGTTATTGACGAAGCTGCCCAGCTGAAGGAGTGTGAATCAACCATACCCCTTCAACTTCCGGGTATGAGGCACGCTATTCTCATTGGTGATGAGCGCCAATTACCAGCAATGGTCAAGAGTGAAGTAAGTCAATTCTAGTACTGATGAATTATAAATTCTAGAGAGAACTAGATTTTTTGCATGGTTTTCTCACAGAAGTTATACCTTTTTTTCTGTATTGAATTTATTATGCCATCTTTGACGCATTGAATATATGTATCAATAGGTTTCTGGTGATGCTGGATTTGGAAGAAGCTTGTTCGAAAGATTGAGTTCATCCAGTCATCCTAAGCATCTGCTTAATATACAATATAGAATGCATACGAAAATTAGTTTCTTCCCTAATTTAAATTTTTATCACAAATGGATCTTGGATGCACCAAATGTTAAAAGTAAAAGTTACGAGAGACACTATCTTCCAGGGCCAATGTTTGGTCCTTACTCTTTCATAAATGTTATTGGTGGAAAAGAAGAACTGGATGATGATGGACATAGCCGAAGAAATATGGTTGAGGTTGCTATTATTTTGAAGATAGTGCAGCATCTGTACAAAGGTATATCAAGTGCAAACACAAATTGTCTGTAGTACAATATTGACTTTGTTACTTGACATACTATGCGTTTTACAAAATGGTTTCATGTTCCTATCACATTTTTACATCATCATCTACAGAAAACTATTTTTTCATTTTTATTTTTATTATTTTTTTATTCCATATCATTTTTTGAGTTCACAGCAATATGATTGCATTGCACAGTTAAAGTATAAGTTGATCTCTTTAATTTGGACAATATGGGCACTTAGGGACAAGTTAACGAGTTTTGCAAGAATAATATTATCTTTTATAAGAAAGGAGGCTGATTAAGGCTCCATTAACAATTGAAGAGAGAGAGAGAGAGAGAGAGTACATGAAATGACAAACCTAATTCATGAATGTTCTTCTCCCCCTTCTTTCTGATAACCCAATAGAGTGTCAAAGAAGAAAATAGAATTGTAAGCAGGATTAGATAGAATTAAAATACCAAAAATAATGACATATGGTAACTTTATGAGAAAGTTGTCACACTATTTGCTCAACAAATTTGATGGAAAACTTCCTCAGTCTTCTCCTGCTAAGTTTAAGTTATTTAGGTAAGCAAGCTCACAAAGAATATTATTGGGGCTATTTTAAACTTTAAGTTGTCAACATATGCTATTAGTTTGGTTTTTCTTTTTTATGCACATACTATATTCATGTACAGCTTGGAATGGCTCTGAAAAGAAGCTTAGCATTGGTGTGGTGTCTCCCTATGCTGCTCAAGTTGTGGCGATTCAAGAAAAACTTGGACGGAAGTATGAGAACCTTGATGGTTTCATGGTGAAGGTGAAGTCTATTGATGGCTTTCAGGGTGGAGAGGAAGATATCATAATAATATCTACTGTAAGAACTAATAGTAAAGGATTCATCGGGTTCATATCCAGTCCTCAAAGAACTAACGTTGCTTTGACTAGAGCTCGGTACAAAGTCAAACAAATTTTTATCATGATTTCTTTCAAATCTTCATATTTAGAACATGACATACTTCCACATCTTTCCAGGCACTGCCTTTGGGTTCTTGGAAATGAGAAAACCCTATCGAACAGTGGATCAGTTTGGGCAAAATTAGTCCAAGATGCTAAGGATCGACAATGTTTCTTTAATGCTGATGAAGACGATGATATGGCCAAAACCATATTAGATGTGAAGAAGGAACTTGATCAACTTGATGATTTGCTTAATGGGGACAGTATACTTTTTAAAAGTGCAAGGTGGAAGGTATAGCTTCTGGTTGCCAAATATTTATTGTCCTTCAATCTTTTCCAACTTCTAGAATAATACTGTGTGTATCTGTGTCTTTTGGATTATTGGTCTTTGGCTTTATTCTTAAAGTTTCTTGCCCACTCAATCTCCAGGTTCTTTTTAGTGATCAATTTAGAAAGTCATTTGGAAAATTGATGTCTGTTCGTACAAAGAAGTCTGTTATGAACCTTTTACTGAAGCTATCTAGTGGTTGGCGACCTAAGAGAAGGAATGTGGACTCAGTTTGTGAAAGCTCTTCCCAGATCGTTAAACAATTCAAGGTTGAAGGGCTCTATGTTGTATGCACGATTGACATAGTGAAGGAATCTAGGTACATCCAAGTTTTGAAGGTTTGGGACATATTGCCTTTAGAGGAGATCTCGAAATTGGTGAAACGTCTTGATAGCATATTTGCAATATACACCGATGATTTTATCAATCGCTGCAAGGAGAAATGTCTTGAGGGGTATGTCTGTTCTTTTGCATGCTATTGGAAATGACCTCTTGTTGCTAAATGCTAAGGTGCTATTTGGTTCGTGAATTTGGTGATGGAAAATGGAAGTCATTGCAGAACAGATCAATTCTTTTCATGTTCATTCACGACAGAAAATAGATTCAATATGGAATATGAGGGAAAAAATTGTAATTCTACATTTAATTTCCTCGTCCCTTCTCTCAATCCTTGACCAATTTTAAATTTCAATCTTATCTAATCATGAGAATAAAAAAAATGAGAAAATTTGTTTTATTTAGTCGTTTTCCTATTGTTTTCCTTTTCTTTGCTAAATCTTTGAACAAAACAGAGCTTGAGTTTTAATTGCTTCCTTATTTTGGTTGTTGGAAATATGAGATTTTTTATAATATATTTGAATTTTAAAGAAATTTTCGATTTCTTTTAAATTTCATTTTCTTCGTTTTTAGGGACTTTGAAATTCCAAAGAGTTGGGTGACCTCTTATGACATTGCCCGGTTTAAGAATATTTGCAACAATGAATTTGGGAGTGAGTCAAGTGTTGCTGCTGTTGATGGTAGAAGTTATGTTGAGAATTCAAAGGTTAGTGAAAGCTTGTTGCTGATGAAATTCTACTCATTGTCATCTGGTGTTGTGAGTCACCTGCTTTCTGGCTGCGATGGTGGGGAACTGGATCTCCCCTTTGAAGTAACAGATCAGGAGATGGAAATTATTCTCTTTAGTAAAAGCACCTTTATAGTTGGACGGTCAGGCACTGGAAAAACTACTGTTTTGACCATGAAATTATTTCAAAAGGAGCAACAGCACCATATGTCTACAGATGGATTTTATGTAGTTGAGAGCAGTGCCTCTAAGAGTTCTACCCAGATAAACGAGTTTAGTGAGTGCATCGGAGAGACTAAGGGAACTGCATTTCGCCAGCTATTTGTTACAGTTAGTCCAAAATTGTGTTATGCTATCAAACAACATGTTTCACAGCTGAAAAGGTGCGTAAAATTTTCGAGTTTGGAGTTGTTGGAATACATTCCATTCTGTTGGATCATCATATTTGCCTTTATCCCGTTTAAACAGTGTCATGCCATGTGAATTCACATTTTTTCTGTATGTTCTATTCTGCTAAATGCTGGTCCATTTATTTTGTTCTCGGTGGAAGGGGTGTGAATACTGATTAGTCAATTAAAGTGGCTGTTCCAATCTATTTGGTTTCGCTAACTTTGCATGATAAGATTTTATATGCTTGTCTGGACATAAAGACTGTTACAGACACTGTAGAAGTCCCATAAATCATATCTGTTAGATGGATTACACAATAGATTATGTTTTGGGCTTTATTTTAATATCATTTAGTGATTAAGGGCATTTCTGTAATCTTGCTATCTCATTATATATGGAAAAAGTGGTGTAGAATGAGGATAGAGCCCAGATTATATTGTAAGATTATTTTATCCTCTCTCTTCTTCTCATTTTCTTTTTGTCCTTTCTATAACTCTAGAAAGAAGGTCACACGATCTCAACTGATTGCATTTAGTGGAATTGTGGGGATTATGTATTTATGCTGTGCAGGAATTGTTTAATTATGCATTATTTTTTGATTCTTGAAGTTGGCCTTCATCCTTGAAGTGGATTACTGTGATTGTATGTGGTCTTAGGGTTAGAAATATGGTCAAGATGGAAGTATTGTTCAAGATGATGGAACATGTGTACTAAGATGGAACTGTTGATCAAAAAGTTTATGGGGAAATCTACACTGTGGTGTGTAACTGACAACCTTAATTAACCGGCTCAGCATTATCCTCTAACCAATGTGTCATCAAAATGGTCCCAAGAAAGTAAATATGGTAGTTGGTTTAGTGGATAAAATTGTATTCCCTAAATTTGCATAAAGATACCTGGAAACATTTGTTAATGATTATTCAACGAATGGTTTTTTCCCCACATTACAATGCTGTCTTTTACTTAGGCACTTGTTTATCTACAGCTGTATTTGTAACTTTATCTATGAATGACTAACCAATATGTTAAGTAAATATTCTTTCCAATGCTGGTCATCTAATACTCAATTTGAATTGTAAATTATTCATCTTCTCTGTGTTCTTCTTCCATACCATTTGTACATATCTTTTTATGGTACGAGAGCACCTCCAATACTCCGTTGAGTTCTTTTTTATCCTGCTGCTCATCATGTCTTAATGCCTTCTCACTCCCCAAATAACTTAGGTGCCATCTCTCTTATTACTTCATCTTCTCTGTCTTCATCTTCCATACCGGTAATCAATTCTAATATTTCTCCCCAAGTACCCTTAAAACTTAATTAATCTAATTATATTTTATGAAGCGCTCAATTACAATTTGTTGGGCTATATTGATGGCTCTTATTCAGCCCCACCTCACTTCCACATTGAAGGTTATTCGACGTCGTTTCTTAACCTAACATTTGATTTACAGTTTTGCCAAGACCATCTAATTCTCAATTGAATTATTTCTTCTCTTTTATGTTTTCTTTTTCTTTTTTTCGAACCTTAGACCTTATCTTCATGAGGCACCAAGGCTAAGTGACTAACCCAATTGAGCCAACCCCTTGGGGTTAATATTTCTTCTCTTTCATATGGTGTTATTTCACTAGTGCATCCACTTCTCTTGAAGCGTGAACTATTTTGGCCCCGACGTTTGCCCCGTTTTCTTAGAAATGTGTTATTCAACTTAAGGTACTCTTTCTTAAGTCGAGAGGTACCTTAAGTGTTGTAGAATATATGTAGTTAATCCGCTCAGTTGCTGACCTGTTGGTTGTTATTGATCGTCCAGTGAGTGATGTAGATCTTGTTCTCAGTGCACTCTGGGCCCTCTGTTCTGATTACCTCGCTTTTGCCACCTCTATTTGAGTTAATGCAACCTAGCCGACTACTTACCAATGCCCCACATGCAAGGCTAGAATTTTTTTCCATGTTTGATCTTTTGCTTGGCAGTAAGTGCATCATTCACAGTGATGATAGCTATGCTCTGGGTGGGATGTAATTTTCAAACTCTAAAACTTTAGGAAATAATGAGTAGAATAAATAACTGCATCTTGCTTTCCAGTATGTAGGTCAAGTTTGTTTCTTATTTTTTGGATAAGTGTAGGTCAAGGGTTTTTATATGATGTGAAGCAAGAAATGAAGGGTGTGTGAATAGTAATGTCTTGAGTGGAGTTGCAATTTCCATTTTTCTTTTTTGGGTAATGGAACGTGGAGAGAAGTGATGTCGTAATTTTCAGTTTTTGAGAACTTTGTTGTCCCAAAAATGTTTGAAAATTCTGTAATTTTCATTTTTGGGGCACTGTGTTATCCCAATTTTGTTTGAAAATTCTCTTCCTTTTTCTTATTAAGTAGGAGGGGAAGAGGCTTTGAATGACATATTGGTTTTTGATATTAATCTTGACAAGAATTTTACGGCTTCCTTCTAAACTCATTTATGTTATGGTTTTACATTGCACCAAGTCACTAGAACAAGAGTAAAAGAACTGTATTTGAGCCTCATACTCTTAAGCATTGATTTCCAAATTTTACTGAATATGTGAGTAATAATTAGTGATGTGGGTCTACTCACCACAGATGGGATCATTCCAGAATTGTTGGATGAAATGCTCTTAAACAATTCCTCATGGCTTTCTATTATCCGTAAACTTGCTGTTTTAACATTATCACATTTAGGAAGTTCTATTTTAGAGAACTGTCTTTTAATTTAAAATTAAAATATACTTTATATGCATATAAACAAATGTTAGCGGCCAATTTTTATTTTACTTTCCTAACTATTATCCTTGTTAGTTGTACAGCTTCGCCCATGGTGGGAATTTTTCAGCAGAAAACAGTTCAATTGATATGGATGATATGGAAGAATTTAAAGATATCCCAGATTCTTTTGTTGGAATTCCTCCTAACAAATATCCCCTTGTCATAACGTTTCATAAGTTCTTAATGATGCTTGATGGAACATTGGGTAATTCTTACTTTGAAAGATTCAGTGATGTAAGGGATTTTTCTCATCGTAAAATTGGAACTTCAAGATCAGTTGCTTTGCAGACTTTCATAAGAATGAATGAAGTTAACTATGACAGATTCTGTTCATTTTACTGGCCCCATTTCAATACCAAGCTAACAAAGAAGCTTGATCCTGCTGTAGTGTTTACTGAGATAATTTCCCATATAAAAGGTGGCCTGCAGGCAGGGGGAACCCTTGATGGTAAACTTAGTAGAGAGAATTATGTTTTACTCTCTGAGGGTCGGGTGTCCACTTTGAGCAAGCAGAAGAGAGAGGTAATCTATGATATTTTTCAAGATTATGAAAAAATGAAGATGGAAAAGGGAGAATTTGATATAGAAGATTTAGTAATTGATCTTCATCATCGACTACAAAAGGAAAGGTTTGAGGGTGATGAAATGGATTTTGTTTATATTGATGAAGTGCAAGATCTTACCATGAGACAAATTGCTCTTTTCAAAAATGTTTGCAGAAATGTTGATGAAGGCTTTGTTTTTTCGGGTGACACAGCACAAACTATTGCAAGGGGGATTGATTTTAGATTCCAAGAAATACGACATTTGTTCTACGATGAGTTCATATCAAAATCAAGAAGTAATGGATCTGATGGAAAAAAAGAGAAGGGACAAATATCACAAATTTTCAACCTGACTCAAAACTTTCGTACCCATGATGGTGTACTCAAATTAGCACAAAGCGTGATTGAGCTTCTTTACCGTTTCTTTCCTCAATCTATTGATGTTCTCAAACCTGAGACCAGTCTTATATATGGTGAAGCACCAATTTTACTCGAGTCTGGGAATAATGAAAGTGCAATTGTTACTATTTTTGGAAACAGTGGAAATGCTGGTGGCAACATTGTAGGATTTGGTGCTGAGCAGGTCATATTAGTACGTGATGATCATGCTAGGAAGGAAATTTCTGACTTTGTGGGAAAGCAAGCTCTTGTTCTGACTATAGTGGAGTGCAAGGGCCTGGAGTTTCAGGTGAACCTTATCTTTTGTTTCTTTAAATGATCACTCTTATATTATTCTTTATTGATAGAACCACCTGTAATGTGTTTGAGAGAAGCAAAATTATATGTAGTAGTGGGATCCCAACATGTCTTAGTTTCCACATGGTGAACATGAAGGATAACACTGTGACTCTGTTTGTCAATTCATTTTTTTATTATTCAGGGGCTTGTGCTGCCATTTTCCTTAAATCGAAGTATTGTAGGAGACCCTTTATACTTCTCTATGAAATATTATCTCTGTTCATTGATTCCTCATGTAATATTATTTGTAGGATGTATTGCTGTACAACTTTTTTGGGTCATCCCCACTGAAAAATCAGTGGAGAGTAATATATGAATTTATGAAGGAACAAGATATGCTTGATGCTACTTCTTCCAAAAATCCAAAATTTAGCGAGACAAAACACAGTATCTTGTGTTCTGAACTGAAGCAACTGTATGTAGCTATCACACGCACAAGGCAAAGGTTATGGATTTGTGAGAACATTGATGAACTATCCAAGCCTATGTTTGATTATTGGAAGACATTGTGCCTGGTCCAAGTGAAGCAACTTGATGATTCACTCGCACAGGCAATGCAAGTTGCAAGCAGCCCAGAGGAGTGGAAGTCACGGGGTATAAAGGTCTGCTTTATCTTTCTCTATATCATCACTGCTGCTACTTTCTTATAGTCATTGTTAAAAGTCAATATTGCTCTTTGTTGTTGTTGGTGTTACTATTGTTGTTCCTTTAATTTTCACAACCTTCGATTTCTTTTGTGTCAATTAATGATTCTGCTCATACATATGATCTCTTTGTGTTTGCAGCTCTTTTGGGAAAATAACTATGAGATGGCAACAATGTGCTTCGAAAGAGCTGGAGACACAATGTGGGAGAAAAGGGCCAAGGCTACTGGCCTAAAAGCAGCAGCTGACCGGTTGCGTGGTTCAAATCCTGAAATGGCTTCTACTGTCCTTAGGGAGGCTGCTGAAATATTTGATTCTATTGGCAGGGCTGAGTCTGCGGCAGAATGTTTTTGTGATTTGGGGGAATATGAAAGAGCAGGTATTAGTTTTTTCCTTATTTTTAAAAAGTGATATTAATTTGAAAATATTGTTTAGGACACTAGATTATTATTCTCTGTTGCTCTTGATATATCTAGTTCCTTTTCCCTGTTAGAAAATGAATTCTGGTTTTAATTAAATCTGTCTGAATGGTGACAGCTTATGTGGCATCACAAATTGGGGTGTTGTGGTGGGTGGAGGAGGATATGACATATTTTTTGGGAGAGGAGTATCATACTAGAGATCTAATTTACGATACAATATAAAAATCAAGCCACAAATGCATTCCTTAGGCTAGTGTTTCAATTAGAAATTATGTGACGTAATGCACAAGGAGAAGATTATTAGATGGAATAATTTTTTTAGCGGTTGGTTTTTACCTAGGAAATGATTCTCCAAATTTTTTTGTGGCTCTCTCTCTATGTATTTTATAATTTTTGTTTGATCTAAGAGGATGCATTTACTTGGCTAAGTATATATGTTTTGTACGACATGCCTGAAAGTTGTTGCATTCAATTCACAAATTTCTGGGCAGTATGATAGCACCAAGATAAGTTCACTTTAATATCATCTCTTTTCTTTTTTAAGGCTAGAACTTAAATCTCAAATTGAATCTCTTTAACAATTAATAGAAGCTATACTGTTTGACATCCAGAATTGCTATTCAAGCAGAATTTTTAATCCATTTTTGGCTTGGAAAAGTTTGACATCCAGATTGTTACTCTTTTTGCTGCAGGTAGAATTTATTTGGAAAAATGTGGGGAATCCGAGCTAAAGAAAGCTGGTGAATGTTTTTCTCTAGCAGAATGCTATTTGCGTTCAGCTGAAGTGTATGCTAAGGGAAATTATTTTTCCGAGTGCTTATCAGTTTGCACCAAAGGAAAATTATTGGACATGGGTCTGCAATACATCCAATACTGGAAACAACATATTCCTATGCATGGTGATATGGTCACAAGATGTAGTGAAATAGAAAAAATTGAACAAGAGTTTCTGGAGAGTTGCGCACTTAACTATTATGAGGCTAAAGATAACAAGTCCATGATGAAATTTGTTAGAGCTTTTCATTCAATGGATTTGAGGCGCAATTTCTTGAAGTCTTTGGATTGCCTTGATGAGCTCTTTTTGTTGGAAGAAGAATCAGGAAACTTTTTGGAGGCTGCAGAGATTGCAAAGCTGAGAGGAAATCTTCTACTGGAGGCTGATCTGCTAGGGAAGGCTGGACATTTTGGTGATGCATCATTGCTCATGCTCTGCTATGTGTTTTCCAACTCACTATGGATTTCTGGAGGCAAGGGTTGGCCATTGAAGCAGTTTGCGCAAAAGAAAGAACTCTTAGCAAATGCCAAATTGTTAGCAAAGAAAGAATCATATGCTTTCTCTGAATCCTATGTCTTCTATGAAACTGTTTGTACCGAGGTTGACATTTTATCGAATGAACAGAGTAAGTTGTTTGAATTGAATCAGCATTTCAATGCCTCCCAACGACAGAAAAGCCTCAGGGGCGAAATTTTATCGGTTCGAAAAATTCTAGATGCTCATTTTCATTTCAATACCTTAAAGTATGCGTGGGAAGAGGAATTGATAGTGGATCTGTTAAAGCATTCAGAAGAAAAAATTTCCCAGAACCAGGTGTCTGTTGAAACACTGGTTTACTTTTGGAGTTTGTGGAAAGAGTACGTTGTAAATATCATGGAATATCTTGGGTGTCTTGAAACCCAAAATGTTAGTAAATATCAAGGTTATGGTGAGTTCTGTTTGAATTATTTTGGTGTGCGAAGACAGTTCAATAATCTGAATATAACTTATGTTTTGACGAACTCTGATGCTGATTGGGTTAGAGAACTTGATGACAGATGTCTCCGAATTAGTGGAAAGTTGGTATCTGTAGATGTTCGCCAGTTTGTCTCAGCTGCTCGGACTCATTGGCGTACAGAATTACTTGCTGTTGGAATGAAGGTTTTGGAAACTCTTGAAGCCCTCTATAAGTTCTCAGCCAGGAATTCCTCACCTGTGTTTTGCCAAAGCATATGTCTCATTCATATATTTGAGGTTACAAAGTTTCTCCTACAGTTCAAGTTTCGTGATACTAAGAAATTGCAGACTTTTCTTGAACTATCTACTGAGTACTTCCAAAAAGTGTTTCCTTTTGACTGGAGAAAATCATTGGCAGAAAATATGATTTCTCTGAGGGGAACTGAGCTTTCATGGAAGTTGCTTGAAGAATTTATTCGTGGGAACTTCAAAGGTAAACTGACATATGGACAAATAGGGAGGGTGGTAATGGTGTGGCTTGGATCTAAAAAGCCAGCTGATGTACTATGCGAGGAGTTTGTGAAAAGGTTTGACAGGAATTCATCATGGAGGGTATTCGCTGAGAATCTCAGAGGGAAAGAAGATCCAGAATCTCTACTGTGGTCACTTTCCAGCATTTCTGTTGAGGCTCTAAGCAGGGTTTCTTTGGTTCACCAATTCCATAAAGCCATGGAAGATACTTTTAATGCTAATTGGAGGAAAGAATCTGACTATATATCACCTAGTTGTTTCTTGTATCTTGTTGAGCACCTTCTGATCTCGGTTTGTTACTTGCGAGGATACTTTCTCACAACAAAGTCTTCATTTATTGAGTGGCTTTTTTATCAGCAACCAAATTCCAACCCCAGTGCCAATTCAGTAGCTGATATGCAATCCTCTCTGAGCGGCATATTCGATTTTGTGGCCTGCATCCTCCAGCAATTTCTTTATAATAAGATAGAAACGGCAGATTGGATCAAAAAATCGAATATTAATTTTAATTTCTACTATCCACTGCTGGTGCTGAAACTCGTCGTGATATTGTGTTTGCTTTGTGTGAATTCTGGGAAGTATCTTGAATTGCTTTCTGTTTTGCTGGGGAGGAATGATATTACTTCAATGCTACCAAGGGAATTCTTTACTATCCTTAAGAGAATGAGAAAGCGTAATTACATAGAAGTAAATACAAGTCTTCTTGCAGATGCATTTAAAAAGATAGAGGACCCTCTTGTGATAGTGAGATTGGGAAAAGATTGTTCAGAGTTTATCTCCCCTAATGCCATTTATGTGGACATGAGTGGTACGCAATGCAAAGAGGATATCATGAGAGTGTTGTTTCCCCAGAATACCAAAGCTCCCCAAGGTAAAAAGGTTGCTGTTGGAGAGAATTCAACTAATTCCATGGAATATCGGAGCACAAACATTGAGAAGGGAAAAGGAGACAGCCTGCAAACCGATTGGGGGCTTTTTTGGGAAATTTCTGATAGTTTAAAGTTTGTGGATGAGAAAAGAGAGGGAATTTTGATGAAATGTATGTTCCCGAAGATGAAGGTATATAATACCAAATTGGCTGACATTATCCATTGTCAAGTATGCGGATACATTAGTATCATAACTTTACTTTTTGAATTTTCTCTGTATATTTTCAGGTGGAGGTGGAGAAAAATATCGACATCTTCACTGCTGCAATGAGCCGATCTAAGAGGAAACCTTGTGATGAAAATGGAGTAGTCTTTGGTGAAGTAAATAGCATGCTTGGTGAACTGAAACAGCTTTCTTCAGCTTTGGATACGAGGTTTGTATTAATATTTAGCTTAAATCACTGTTAGAGCCTTGCAGATACACACACTCGTATCCTCTCTCTTTGTTCTTGTTCTCCTTCTAAATTAACATGAAGTATAGCCCATTGGTCATTCTCAATTCATTGATGAGTTGCTGAAGCTTCCTAATCAATTTTATGGTATGCTGAAATCTGGTTTGTTGTTTCATTTGTTTTTCAGTGACCAACACCCTGAGAAACTCAATTCAAAAGTTTTTGAACTTTTGAATAAGTTGCAGTTAAGGCGGCCGTTACTTGAGAGTTTCTTTAATCAGCTACTTGCAGATGAAGACACAAATGCCATGAGTGAGGCACCAGAGAGCAGCATCGTGTCTGAAGCCCTATATGACAGCAAGGCTGAGGGAACTAGCAACTCTAACGAAGACGATATGAAGGCTTCAGAGGCTACTGTTTCCTCTGAAGCACAAAGCAATAGCAATCCTCGCGATACTGAAAGAAACAAGGGGAAGGGAAACAACAAATCCAAGAAAGGCAGAAAGGGAAACAGTAAGTCCAAGAAAGGCAAAAAATGAATAGCTATGCACTGTCAAAATCTTAAGGGGATATATATTACTAAGTTGGTACTCTTCTGTATGTAAATGTTACAATTGTGAATTGATAGACTACTATAAATATAAACTGGTAGATTATCAATAGGTGATTGAAAGGGAATTGCAAAAACTGCAACTTAAGGTGGCCATGATTGTTGTATGGTATTTTTGAATCAATACAAAAGCTGCTGCCATAGATATTTTTGTTCATAGTATGAATTGAGAATGACAAATGGGCTACACTTAGATTCTAGTGGTGTAATATAAACTGGTAGATTATCATTAGGGAATGAGCATAGTTTATTTTTTATGCCACAAGCTTGGATTCTAGTGGTTAATTATTGATTCTGTCTGTAGACACTAAGGCCCTGCTTGGAATGTATCTCCCAAAACAGTTTTGCTGTTTTGGGAGTTACAAAAAAGAGTTCTTGAAAAAAATGGTCAGCTTGGAACATAGTTACAGAAACTGTTTTTTCAAAACAAGAGCCCTATGAGTAGCTGTTTTCTAAGAACAACTCAAACTTGTTTTTGCGATTTTGGAGAACATGCGGAGAACACTGTTCTCCACTTAAAAAAGCGGTCCGTACCTATATCGTTTATAACAGTTTTGCGCCTCCTTCAGTCCTTCTCGCCTCCTTCAGTCCTTCTCGTCTCCTCCACGAAAAAGCTCTGCATCACCTCCTCTGAACCCGGCATCTCGCTCCTCTTCTCTCTACAAGATCTCTTGCAACGCTGCACTTCTCTCCTCTGCATCCAGACTCTTGCTCAGATTTTTTTCAAGCTCCATCTGTTCAGGTAAACACAAATCTGTATTTTTCTGTAGCAAGTTTTTGGTTATGGATTTTGTTTTTTTGGATGAGTTTGGTTGTAGATTTGATTATGGATTTTGTTGGTTATGGATTTTGTTTTTTTGGTTATGGATTTTGTTGGTTTGGTGATTTTTGTTGTGAATTTGATTTTTAGTTTAGGGATTTGGGTTTTCGATCAGTTTAGGGTTTAGGGATTTGTGGTCTTTAGAATACTGAACTTTCTTTTTCTTTGTAGAAAGTGTTGGTACATCTTCTTCTTTAGTGCAATCAAAATTTACAGAATTTAAAAGCCCAATTTAACAAATATTACAAAATAAGTCCAAAATTTCTCCTATTCCCTGCTCTATCCTTTTATCTAATAGGCTGTATCCAACCGAATGTTGGTGGACTTCTCTTTCCCTATCCAACCGAATGTTAACGGGCTTAAATTAATGGAGATTTTAAATACAGCATTGTGCAAATTTTGTATGAAACGAGGTAAAGAATGATGGAACTGCTTTCAGAGACTGAAACCAAAACCTGCAAGTGAAATAACAAACCATGCCAGCCAGTACATTCCCAGATAGCTAATGCTGCATAACGAACCTAATCGAGGGAAGAAATCATATAAACATGGCTATGCATAAGTAATAGTTTTATACGTTTTGAAGCAACCAACCCATTCATGGTCATAAAACCTTGTAAAGTGACTGTAACAAAAGTTTCTCATCAAAACACCAGCTGCTCATGCGCTTGAGGGGAGCTAAAAACCAAAAACAAATACCAACGGTCAGTAAGAACAAAATCTAAATAAATTACCCTCCATTTAAAAACAACTGCTCAGGACCTATCCGCATGCAACAGTGTATCAAGTCTTGCAGTAGATGAAATTTTCAAAAAACAAGAAAATAAAAAATCAAATAAATTCTCATAAAATTGAACAGAAGAATTTGAATAATGAATTACGCAAATCTCGGGCTCACTAGTCAAAGGGAATCCAGAGGTGTGACTTGTGCAAATCTCAAAGTTATGGAAAATTTTACTCATATTGAGTTGCAAGAGCTGAATCCCAAGGCCAGAGGTTGGAGTAACTTAAATTATTAGTTAACCATCTGTCCAAAATGTTAAAAAGAATATAACAAGAAAGAAAAACTTCAGATGAAAAATGAATTAGTTGAAGAAAACAACAAAAATCCCAAAGGGTACTTGTGGCAAATTGTGCCTTGACCATGCGTTTGGAATTAAAGTCATTGATAATACACACTTCATAAAGGGTACTAGATATAACTGTAACATTAGATATTAATCAGGCTTAGTTAGCTTACAAAAGTTTCACATGATATTATCCTCCAGTAAATCTAATATCCAAGAGTCCAACCCCAATGATGTGTGTCCCAGAAGGCAGGGGCAGAGAGGACAGTAATGGCTTTTCTACTCCTCCGACCTGGCATTCTCTAGAAGAAACAAAATTTAGGCAGGTCTCAAACATGCTTGAACATTTTTTCACTGACAAGTTGCTTGAAGATAAACAATTATGCATAGAAGAAAAACTTTCATATATTAGCAGATTATTTTTATCTAATCATAACCAATTAAATGCTGAGGTAGTGCTTCAAGGATGTGATTTGAAAATAAATAAATAAATTGCAAACATATTGAAAATTATCAATGTTTTAAAAATTATAAAATGCACAGCCAAGTGTTTCTTCATGTTTTTCATAAAGTATATCAAAACAAAAATTCTAAAATACAACCTAGGGTGTTGCTTTTATTGTGATCGCTTATCAATGACTTAACCATGTAAAGGCTTAATCTTGTTTGCCAAACTAGTGTTTTTCTTTTTAATTTATTCTAAAAAGAAAATGGTAGTAATATGTATATCATACAAAGTATTTTTCTTTTTAATTTATACCTATATAGATATATATTTTGTAGTGTACATATATGTATTAATCCAACACACACACAATTTCACACATATATTTCCATCTTCCTTGTTGTAAACTGTATGTGTATCCTATTTTTCAAAAATGAAAAATAAAAATTATCTCACTTTATTTGTAGCTTATCGTGTCCAATCTTGTCTCCATGATCATGCTTCATCCTTGGACGCTATGAATGAGATGTTTCATATTTGAGAGAGTACTACAAATTCCATACATAGATTCAAAATGAAATAATCACTAGCTATCAATAAAATTGTTACCCAAAATCTTGGATTAAAATTTGGGATAATACCTAGTTTCTGCTGTGTTTTTACCTAAGGCAAATTTGTAAAACTGAAAGAATTCAAATCATTTTTATGCGTTATGTTAACTGGATTAATATAACAAATATTACAAAATAATATTGACCAAGTTTGTGTAGTCAACCACTAAGGAAATAAGTAAAAAAAGAATAATCACGCTTGTCAATGTATATCCATACTCAGGTTCGTGCACCCAACAAGTATAATCACACAACAGATTTTAGTTATTTTATATTTGTCTTTTCACCTTTTTTTATTCATAATAGCATAATCAATTACATGTTTATGGCATTTATATGTACTGGAAACAAGGAATGATGAGTTATTCCTATGTGATTAATGTATGATTAAGGCATTTATATATACTGTTTTGGTATACTTTTTATTATGTTTAATTTATAATGGTTATTGAAATTTTGTCTAGGTTCTTAGAAAATCAACATGGACACAGATTGGATGCTAGATGAAGTTACTTTTATAATTCTCCAATATTTTGCTTTGATTAACTATTTGTATAATTTTCTAATATTTTGTTTTGGTTATGTATCACTAAAATTAATGTTTGTACAACTAAAAGTGCATATGACACTTGAAATAATTCATGTAACTCTTTTATTGTATTTTAATTTAGTCAAATTTTAATTAAACTTGATATATTATATTTGTGCAACATTTATTAAGTTAAGAATACTAACTAAAATGAATTAAATAAAAGAGTGAGGTACAATAATATTTTTATTTATTTTTTTAGTTCAGAAAACTATTTTCAAAAATTCATACAACTAAGTAGTTTTATGAGTTTTTGTTTTCCGGAAACTGTTTTGTAAATTCTCTTAACTAAGCAGGTTTAAAATCTGAAAAAACTGAAAGTTGTTCTCTAAAAACTATTTTTGAGAATTGTTCTCTAAAATGCAATCCAAGCAAATGCCAAAATTTCATAAACTTTTGTTTTAACAAATTGACCCATCAAATATTTGTTTAATTAAATTATTTAATTGGCCCAAACTGGGTCCACTTAAATTATTTAATTAGCACAGCCCAGATGATTAAATAAAAAGACAATTATTTTTAATAAAATATATTTGAAATAATTATTGTTATGGATAATTATCATAATATAACTGGCCCGGTCAAGTTATAATTATGTCTTTTCAAAAGAGGATACATGTCATCATCCTTTTAATCTAAGAAGTTTATAAATAGAGACATAGAGGAAGAGGTATAGAAATTGAGAATTCTAGAAATCCAGGGAGTAATACAGAAGCTCTACTAACATTTATCCCCAACACCTAAACTTGAAGGCGAAGAACAACAAGCACATCAAATCGTGTCGTTCTTCATCAAAATTCCACGGTGATTAACAACAAGCATATCAAATCGTGCCGTTTTTCATCAAAATTCCATAGTGATTCAAGATCAAGTTCATGTAGCCCTTGAATACCAACAAAGGAGATCGAATCAGAGGACTTTATTCTTTGTAACGAATATTATAGAGGATTGTATTTCTTTTATTTATCATAAATCAATAAAATTCTATTTGTTCCCTTATTTCGTTCTTTATTTGCAGACTACAAAATTTGTGTGCACAAATTTCTGGCACGTCCAATGGAACATCCTTTGTCTCTTATCTCTTTCTCCTACCATGAAGTCTTTGCTTTGTCAGATTCCATGGCTCCCCCTAAGGATAAGACAGACAAGAAAGCCCAAAAAAACATAACTACTGCAAAGGTTAACGCCAAAGCCACCATGAAAAATGGCACGAAGGCCAAGAAAGCATCAAGTGATGGAAGTACCTTGGCGGGCCTTGTGGCACGTAGCGAGTCCCAGGCAATCGCGTTATACAAACATCAGCAAGACTTAGTGACAACCAATCCTGTAAAGCTGACGAACGTGAAAACTCAACATATCAACACCCCTGTTGTCCAAAAGGTTAAGAACCCTGACGTTTGTTCTAGAGAAAGTCCTGTCACCAGATTCACCTCATTCCATTTCTGACGCTCACTTTAGTGTCGGTTCACCCCCAGAGTCACCACGTCAGACCTCAGAGCGATTGATCACTTCAAGGAACGTTGACTCTCAAGGCCTATCATACTCAGATGTGGTCGCTGCTATGATGACTAGAGCTGCCACAGAGGATGATCAACTAGCAACAATGGCACGCGCAATTGACTACCTCATAAAGACTATTGAAGAAAAGGATTTGCAAATCGCTACACTGGTGAACAAGTTGGAAGTTCAGACCTTCGGTGAATCACCACAATCGTCTAGGAATCCTACAACTTCCACAGCAGTGCCATCTGGAAATCCTAATTCTATGGCACAAGGTACTCGCATTGAAGACCCCAGACAGATACCCATGACAGAACAGGCGACTGGTCAAACCATTAATGTTTCTTCAGTATCTTTATTATATGTTGAACAATTGCAAGATATGCTAATGAATACAATCCGACCCCAATACGGAGGCGTCTCATAGAACACTCTCATGTATACAAAGAGAATCGACGATGAAGAAGGATGGACTCTAGTGACAAGAAAGAAACCACGGAAGCAACGAGCTGACATTTTTCAGACTAGTTATTCTTGCACGGGGCAAAGGAAGAAGAAACCTCAATATTGCCATAGGCAGTCTGGCGATAATAGAAAATGGGTCAAGAAGACACAGTTAACTAAACACGCCTCTATAAGCAAAGGAATCCCGAAGCCCATTACTTTGCAAGAGTTCTTTCCCAAAGGATATCTAGATGACGAAGTCGTGACAACTTAACATGGTTTCAACTGGGAAAACGAGCCCTGATGATGAGAATAACGAGGATCAAGATGAAGCCCAGCCTGTGGAGAACCATGCAAAGGATGCGGTCGTCATTGAAAAGTCTGATGATGAGGAAGTAATCGGAGGTACGCTTGATTCATGTTGTGCACCAATTATTTTCACTGATGAGGATTGTCAGTTGGGTTCAAAGCCGCATAATTGTCCTTTCTTCGTTTTTGGTTACATAAGAGAACAAAAAGTTACTCGAGTTCTTGTTGATGGTGGATCAGCAGTGAATTTTATGCCAAAATTTATGATGAAAAATCTCGACATCACAGTCGATGAATTAGCTCGTAGCTGGCGTCTTATTATTCAAGGTTTTAACCAAGGAGGACAGAGAGCTATTGGCATGATTTGGGCAAAGCTAACTATTGGCAGGCTCCAAGCCGAAACCCTATTCCACTTAGCTTGCTGCACCCCCTCCCCCTTATCATGGAAGCAACCAAACGTCACTCACCATGACAAGGGCCCGCGCTCTCTCCCCGTGAACCTCTCTAGCATAAATACCTTGGTTGGAGATTTCAAGTATTAAAATAAAAATAATACAATTTTAATAAAATTTAAAATTGAATATTGAATTTTTTGTTATGAATATATTTTTTTTTCCATTAATATCATCTCATATATACATTTATATATTCTTATCTATACTATTAATAGTACATATATATGTGCATGTGCGTTTCGTTTATTTTATTTTATTTTTCTTGTTTTTTATTTATAATAATAAATTATGTATGAATCATTATGTGTTATGAATCACTTTTAGTATACTATTTTTTATGCTATTAAAGTGCTGGTTTAAATGTATATATACTAAAAAAAATAAATCAAAATTGTTAAGAAATTTTATACATTTTTAGAATAGTGTATAAATACTTCTTCTTGTGATCCCTACCTGTAATGCTCTTGTTGACCTCTAATCTTGCTGCTCCCTCAATATTAGAGCTTGATATTGTAATTTTTACCTTTATTTATATAATAGACCTTTATGTTATAGTTCAAAATTTTAAGAAATATCAAATACTATTAAAAGTTGGAAATTTCAAGAGTTACAAAAGTTTTGTATTAAACATGAGAGTAATAAACTTTTAATGAAATTTAAGGTTGAAAATTTCAAGGGGTTATACATGTTTTGTAGCCCACTTTTAATGACATTTCTTTAGGTTGAAAACCCCAAAGGTTATCAACTATTAAAAAAATGAAATGAAATTTAAGTAATTAATGTCCACTAATACTTTTTAATGAAATTGGATTTAATGTAAAGTGAAAAAAAAGAGTTAAGAAATATCTTGGTTGGAGATTTTAAGTATCAAAATAAAAATAAGGGTTAAGTGCAAAAAACCCCCCTAAACTATGGGGGTTTTGCAACTAACCCCTCGGAACTACAAGAAACCCCCCATGAACTTTCATTTTCTTGCAATTTGCCCACTCAGACGACCGAAAAAGAAAAAAGACCAAGTTACCCTTTTAATAAAACGACGCAGTTTGGTGAGAATACCAATTTCATTTATTGAAGTGGCATAGAAAATCTAACCAACCAATAGCATTTTGACAGCACAACAAGAGAATGATTCTTATCTCTAGCTTACATCACCCACACATCAGCCAAACCTAACCTAACCCACCTTCCTTTATTCGCGGCAAAGACAGAGAGGAGAAAAGGAAGCCATCGTCCGGCCTTGTCTGCAAATCGGCCTTGTCTACAAATTGGCCTTCTCTGCAAACCTAATCAATATAAAACCCTAAAAAATGTTTGCCTTAAGGTGTGAGACTCGCATTCAGTAACTCTCTTACTCTAATTAACTGATTTTTCTTTTATGTGCTTGTATCAATTTTGTTATATAATGGCGAAGCTCAGTTATGTTTGTTTCTTACTTTGTTCATGCGTTTTTGTTGCTTTGTATAAAGTCTTAGTCGAATTTTTTAAGGAGAGGAGTAAAATTTTTTAGATGATATTGCTGTGACATTTTAAAAGAAAAGTTTTGCTTATATCAATTTTGTTGATGTTGCTGTGACATTTTAGAAGAAAATTTTTGCCTTTTTAGAACTCTGATGTTGTAGTTGATTTTTATTTTATTTGAAAGGTCCGAGGTTCAATGTCTTTGTAGTGTTTTTTTCCTTCTTCATGTCGACTAGTCCCTGTCTAGAAACCTTGTCTGTAGTTATTGCTTCTTTCTATTGTCTCTATAAAATAGTATATAATATCTTTGTTTCATGACTTTATGTGAAATTGGTGGTCCCTCTATGTTTGTCAAATGACCTGATATACTTTGTAGTGGTCCTTTTTGTGTATTTAATTTTGACCCACCATTATTGATTGCATTGTCTATATTATAGTGGTCCCTTTGTGTTACTAATTATGCAACATCAGTTATTTAATTGTACACATCACAATACTGACATGTATAGTGATCATGTGCTTAAATTATTGAATTGGATATGTTATTTAATGATTGCATTGTCTCTATTGTTTGTATACTTATTGAATGAAGTGTCTATGCTGTTTTGATTAAGGTTGTCTATGTCATTGTCTATATTGAGGTTTTTTGTACCCACTTGTTGTTGTAGATGGATGATATGTTTACCATTGAACTTCATCATAGGGGTATATTCGAGAAATCACCCCTTATGACATACTTAAGAGGAAATATAACTAAATTTGAAAAGATAGACCCTGACATAATGTCATATCTTGAGGTTCAAAAGATGGCAATTGGATTAGGGTATGGGGTAATCAGTGAAGTGTTCTACAAAGTACCTTATGAGTAGCAACAATTTAGAGAAGTGAAATATGATTTAGATGTGTCTAGGATGTTTTATGACCATGAAGCTCATGGAAAAATGTCAGTTGTGAAATTATACATTGTTGCACCTTTGTTGAATGGGGCAGAGAATAAGGTCAACTCAGATGCTGATTTAAGGTGGGAATATCTAATGAGTGATACCCAACTCATTGCTCCTGTGTCAAGTGAGTATGGTCCTAATGATGAGTTGATAAGTTTATGTGAATCTGATGATGATTGTGTTGATGGTGCTTATATGCACCAGGATTACATTATTTCAAGGGATTTTGGAGAAAAAGAACTGGAATTGGGCTTGAAATTTGGGTCAACTGCTGATTTTAGGTTGGCACTTAGGGAAAGTGCATTGAAAAACAAGTTTGATATAATGTTCACAAGGAATGATGGAGATAGGGTAACTGCAATGTGCAAAGCTGAATGTAGTTGGAGGATACATGCAAACAAACCTGAAAATGAAGATTGCTTGATTATTAAGACCTATGTGCCAGAACATACTGACTGTTTATGGTTTCATACAAATGGACAGGCCTCATCAACCTTCTTAGCAAACAAATATTGTGAACAAGTGAGATTAAACCCTAAGATACCTATGGGAACACTTAAGAGCACCATTGCATCTGAAATGAACATTGATATGTCCACACATAAAGTTTATAGGGCAAAAAGAAAGGTATTAGAATTGATTGAAGGGAATGATGCTGAGTGGTATGGTAAAATGAGAACCAACCCTGGCAGTGTAGTTAAAATACAAACTGAGCCCACTGCTGATGAAAATGTTAGAAGGTTTCAAAGAGTCTTATTTGTTATGCTGCAATGATAACTGGTTTTAAACAAGGTTGTAGGCCACTAATTGGTGTAGATGGATGTTTCCTAAATGGTCCTTATGGTGGTCATCTACTGAGTGCAGTGTCCATGGATGGGAATGGTCAAATGTTCCTAGTTGCAATTACAGTGGTAGAGTCTGAGATAAGAGATTCTTGGGAATGGTTTATGGGAGAGTTGATGAATGTTGTAGGGCCATACAATGATATAACCTTCATCTCTGATAGATAGAAGGTAAAATGTATTTTATTGTGTTGTCACACACTTCCTTCCACACACACTCACTTACACACACACACACACACACACACACACACAACTACACACATACTCACCTGCACATTCACTCATTTGCACACACTTATTTACACTCGCACAACTGCACACACTCATTTGCACTCACTTGCACATACCCTAACACACTTGCACACACACTCACCTGCACATACACACACACTCACTTGTACACACTGACATACATTATAATTTTTATTAACAGTTAGATGTCCTATTTACAGGGTTTAGTAGGAACCTTTGAGAGCATAATGGGGGGATCAGATCACAGGTTTTGTGTGAGGCATCTTTATGAGAATTTCAAGCTCAGATGGCTAGCAATTAAAGATTCAATTATGGGATGCTGCAAGGGCATACACTGAAGCAGATTCCCAGCAACACATGAGAAAAATGACAGAGTTAAATGTTGAAGCTTATGATTGATTGACAAAGGTGCCAGTTCATTTGTGGTTAAGGTCAGCCTTCACTGACACTTCAAAAAATAATATGCTTATTAATAACATTTATGAGAGTTGGAATGCTGTAATCCTTGAAGCAAGAGATAAGCCGATCATATACATGCTTGAGTGGATTAGAAGGCATTTAATGTTAAGGTTTCAGTGTAAAAGGGAGTGGATGCATACACAGTTTGGGTTGTTATGTCCAGATATCCAAAAGGCATTCAACAAAGTGAAACAACAAGCTTCCATGTGTAAGGTTCACTATGTTGGTGATGACAAGTATGAAGTTCAATGCTATGGAATCAGTAAGGCTGTTGACCTTGACAGACATACATGCAGCTACAGAGTTTGGAACTTAACCGGTATTCCTTGTAAGCATGCAGTGGCATGTATATTTACTAAAAGGGACACTCCAGAGTCATATGTTCACCCATTTTATTACAAAGAAACCTATATGAAGTGTTATGGTGGTATGATCCTTCCCATTCCAATGGGAATGTTGATGAAAACTAACAGCATTGACACATTGCTTCCACTGCACTATAGGAAACCCACTGGTAGGCCAAAGAAGGCTAGGAACAAGAAGAATGATGATCCCAAAGGTTCTACCAAACTTAGCAGATCAAAGGAAAGTTTGAAATGTTCCAAGTGCAAGGAAAATAGTCATAACTCAAGGGCTTGCAAAATACCTGAGCCATTAATCATTGACAGACCTCCACCAAGAAGGGGTGGTAGACCACCAAGTGTTAGAAGAGGGAGAGAAAGAGGACCTGATGGGATACCTGCAACAACAAGAGGAAGAAGGGGTGGTAGAGGTAGAGCCAGAGGAGTTGATATTCCAGCTCCAATTGCAAATCAAGAGGTATGGTTATTGTTCAATTTTACTTCAATTTTAGTAAAAAGTACCATATTCACAGCTTTAAAATCACATATCATATTTAAACTCACTTATTGTTTTACCACTTTTTATTTCAGGTTCAAAACATACCATTTTCTCAATTGTCACAAACCCAATCATCATCTTCTAGGTATAATGACAATAGTCTTATAATCTGCTAATTAAATCTTAAGTCTTTGAGGATCATATAATTAGCTAATTAACTTGATCTATTGTCAATTTTTTGTTTCATTTACAGGTCAATGATGGAAAGTGAGTATGCATGCTGGTAGTGAAAATGGCCACAAACTTGATGATGATCATGTTGATGAATGTTTTGTTATATTTTGACTATTGCTGACATGAAGACTCCCATTTTTTGGTGATTGTTCAAGTGAATGGAGTGAAGACATGTTATATTATAATGGCTTTTTCTTTATTGTCAGACTGTGATAATGTGAAACACTAGTATAAAACTAAGCTATTTATTGTCAGCCTTTTTGTTTATTGTTAGTCTGTGTATGAAGACTTTATTATGAATGAATGCCATCTTCTATCAGTTTATTTATTAGTGTTTTAACTGTTACATTTAGTTTGCTTGAATTATATAACAGGTGCAGGTCAAATCACCAAGTGCATTGCATATTCAGTGAATTGCAGTGCACTTAGATCAACTGAATTACAGTTCACATTTGAATGGTTGATAGGTTTTTTAGTGCACATGTTACTTATAACACTAAGTGTGTCACTTTGACACTTACAGCTCAATGCCAAATCCTTGCACTTGCATTTTTGCTTGAAGTGTATAACAGGTGCAGGTTACTTTGACTTTTACTTGAAGTGTATAGCAGGTGTAGTGCCAATAACTTGCAATTCCAATCACAAAATTCAACCCCCAAAACCTTGCACTTCCAATCACTATCATAACTTGTGCTGCACTATCATTTAGCAAACCAAAATCACCTAATTTTGCTCTCATTGCATAACAAATATAACTTGCAAATTGTACACACAAATGTTCATTCTAATTCATATAACATCACCTTTAAAAACAAATTGAATTTTCGTTCATCTCGAACTTTTACTAGATTTTGATTCATACAACAACATACAATCAGAAAGTTCAACATACAACACTACAATCAGATTTTCAACTCCCAAAACATATTACTAAATCCCAACAAGACAAGGAGATGGATATAACCAGAGCACTACAACTAAAACCCCCAAAACGAAATTCACTTCACAAAAAGGCAAACAAATAGCACCACAACTGACATCCCAAATAAAAACATGCTTCCAACTAACATTGACTTAGCAATTGCAATGAAATCATTGATGGGCACAACATAACCTATTTGAGCTTCATATCCCTCTTCTGTAGCTTCACCAAAACCAGCTGAAGGAGTCCACCATTAAAAAAAAAATTACAAACCCTATCCTTGCAATTGAAAAACAACTTCCCGGGATTGTTGTCTGACTTTGAGATCAACACAGTTGCCCTTTTATCACAAAAACATTTCATATTCCTGAAAGGGCCCCTTCGCACCACACCACGAAACCCAAGTCTTGCAGATGATTCATAACTCATTTTCTGCAAAAATAAGCACACACAGAGAAGGACAATGAGAAGGAGAACGACAATGAGATGGATATTAAAACTGACACCATCGCGAAGAAGAAAATCAAACTAAAGATGGATGATAACAGTTACCAAGACTTGTATCGATTTCTAACTGCGATTATCAACAAAATTAACAGTTGATTGAGTACCAAGAAGAACAACAAAAAACCCTAGTAGTTGCAGAGTTCGTGATTTGGGGATAATTGGAAAGCTGTGTTTGGTTTTGTTGGTAAATTATAAGGAATGGGATATTAGGGTAAAATGTTTGGAAATTAAGGACACTCTTGTCTTTTCATGCTTGTAAGGGCAATATCGTCATTTAAAAAAATTCATTCAAATTTAATGGCTATTTCTCACCGGAAGTTGGCCGGATGGGGTGATCTGCAACTTTTTGACATAGTTCAGGGGGTTTCTTGCATTTCTTGAAGTTCAGGGGGGGTTTTTTGTACTTAATCCTAAAAGTAATACAGTTTTAATAAAATTTAAAATTAAATATTGAATTTTTTGTTATGAATATTTTTTTTCAATTAATATCATCTCAAATATATATATTTATACATTCTTATCTATGCTATTAGTAATACATATATGTGTGTATATTCGTTTATTTATTTATTTATTTTTATAATAATAAATTATGTATGAATCAGAATCACTTTTACAATAATATTTTTATGCCATTAAAGTACTGATTTAAACGTGTATATATATACTAAAAAAAAAATTAAATCAAAATTGTTAAGAAATTCTCTACCCTTCGTAGGGTATGAAAATTTACCTTCAAAAATCTGAACTTCTAATCATGCCCCTCCTCTATCTGACGTGGCATTACAACCTGATAAAAACAACCAGCCCTATCCTTTTTTGCGTTCCATTGGGCGCCATTCTATCAACCAGAACAGAACGAGAAAGAGAGGCAGAATGCTACTCACAACACCTGATTACTTTTCTACCCCTCTTGCGCAGTCTCTATCTTCCTCCTGTTTTTCATTTCGTTGCAAACCCATCAAACGCTTCAATTTGATCGATTCACACAACAGAACTCGAACGTTTCGACGCTGTAAAGCGAGTATGATCACCAATCCCGATTCTTTCGAAGTCGGGAGGCTCATCGGCAGCTATGGTTTCATGAACATCACTAGGTATGAACTATCTCTTGCTTTTGTTTGGATTCATTGTTTGAAGTTCATATATGTATTTTTCAAATCCGATAATGGAAATTTGTTTTTCAGTTACTCGGGGTTCCAGTCTGGGCTGGACATTGGGAACCCATCAGAAGATTTTGGGCGTTTGAGAGTTCAAGATGTAGGAGAAGGCACTGTGAAGATCAGGTGCACTTTATGGATAATTGAATAAGAGAATAGGACCATCTATAGGCTTTGTAATGTGGAAATATACTTTAATGCTCCTAGAACATGGATTGATTACAGATACTGATTAAGACGGACATGTAGATAGTACCCATTGGAGTAAATGCATTTTTACTTATATGACAAGAAATAATTGGTGGATGGCATCCGGCAATTAAGTCTTTCTCATGTTATACACACACAGATATATATATATATATAAGTACCCTTTAATTATCATCACTCCATTAAATCTTCGTGCTACTGATACTATCCGTGGCAGCTCATTTGCAGGCTTTATGAAGGAAGAATAGCTCAGGGTCCACTTAGAGGGACTTCAGTTATTTTTAAGGTGTTTTTTATTGTGACTTAATTACAAGTGTCATATGCTTGATCTTTGTGACTAATTTATTCCAATCTACGTCAAGAACATACTTGAAGGTGCATGACTCTTTTTGTTCTCTTCCCACTCCACCCACACACACCCAAAACAGAATTCAAGTTGCTTGACTTAGATCCATATATTAATGCCTCTCTCGTTTACTACTTGAAAATGGTACATATTGTTGTTAAATTGTTGTCCCTTTACTGCAAAAACAGGGGCTTACCACTCCAGAACACAATGTGTTGCCAAGTTTTGGTTAAAGCCAATCGTAGAGTGACCTGAGAGGAGCGAGTGGTTTAACATTAATTTTTATGAGATTTATTATGTGTGTATGTATTGTGTGAGTAATGGCTCTCTCCCTCTATTTTTTTCTTCTTCCTTGACATAAATTTCTCCTTTGCAGTTGGGTTTCTCTGAATTGCATACTAAACACAATAAATTTCTGAGAAGTAGATGTGTGATGTTGAGTCCAGAATTTTGTTTTAGCCCAGGTCGCAACTGCGGGCCTAAGCCCACCAATTTTTTTTACCCATTTTTTCTCTCATGGGTCGTGGACCCTGTTTATTACTTTCTTGTAGCCTGCTATATAAGTGTGCATAGGGTTTGAAGTGGGACAACGAGAGACACTGGAAATCGCAGGAAAGAGAATGAGAGTTGAGAGTGAAAGCTAGGGTCTGGGAACTGAAACTTGTAATCTTATATTTTTTGCATAGTGAAATCTGTTGTTGGATCTTCATCGTGGACTTAGGCTTAAACTGAAGCCAAACCGCGTAAATCTTTGTATTCTATGTGTGTGGCGTGTTTACTTTTATGTTGTGATTCTTGTTTTGTTCTCGGTTTGTTGTGTTTGTCGTAACACAATGTTTGGAAATGCAAACTAAAGAAATAGTCTGGAGAGGGTCAAGTATGTTGAGGGTGGTTTTTTAAGTACTCCATCATGTTCATGAACCTCATGGGGTATATCAGACCTCTTTTTTATTTTGAGAAGATGATTGATGGTGTAAAATCAAAATTCTGAAATTATCAATGCTGAATAAAATATTGCCATATCAAGGTGTTCTTGCCCTTCCAAATAATTGACCTTCATTCACATTTTTTTTTTCCTAGTTGGACTCACACACAGACGTCTCTTCTGAGACTTGAACCCCTGATCTCCCTTTGAGAAGTAAGAGGTTGATATTGCTAGTCCACTGGCCTGTTGGTACCTTCATTCATTCACATTTTCATCATTCAACTGTGTAGAAATTATTTCTTGCGAACAAGCTGCAAAAACATTAATCTCTTTTCCTATTGAAACTAACTTATTTGTAATTTTCTGCCATTTCCTACCATTGAAATAATTTCTTGATTCAATTCGGTGATTCAGAATTTTTTTTTTCCAATATTTGTGATTTCAAAACATTATTAACCTGTATTTATAGCCTATTTCATTTTCTTTTCTTTTTGGATAGAGGAAAAGCTTAGCTACTAAAATTTAATCTGAGACATTCACTATATACCTTTTAAAATGCTTGTTTAAGTAAAATTTGCATTGCTGTGTATTAGTTCCAAGTCCTACAATGATTTCCTCTTACAATAACTTCTGCGCAATAGTGTTCTTTAAATGTGCCATTATCTTCTACTAAGTGTCATGTCTGTTGTGAAGGTATATCCTGGAAAACAAATTGGTGGTGTTGAGGCTGACATGATGGCTGCTAATGAACTAAATGCTCATGCTTCTCTTCAAGTAAGATTAATGCGTAGTTGAATTGGCAAAAATTCCCAAAATATGTGGAAATTTGTTTCCCTTATTAGAAGATGTTAGTACATATTGGTGAAAGAGTCCTTTTGATTTTTTTTTTTTTTTTTGGTTTTTTTTTTTTTAATTCACATTCTTTGCAGAGCAGTTCTAAATCTATGCAGTATCTCCAAATACTTCTCGGTGGTTTTGAGACAAAAACTGGAGAGCAGGTCTGTTGTGTCAAGTTCAGTATAAGCTAATACTTGAAAGGTGTTCCACAATTCTTCTGGTGAATGGTAGACACAATCCATCTATATAAAAATGTTTTTCTCTACAGTGGCTCGCTTTTCGTAATGATGGGAAATACAGTGCCGCAGACTATGCGAAAGTTGCAAGTGAAAAAATATCTAAGGAACGTGCCTTAGGAGAGCAGAAATTTTGGAATCCTTTTGAACAAGAGCTAGCTATAAAGCGCAGAAGATATTTTATCATTAAATTGCTTCAGGGTGCCATACGAGGCCTATCCTACATGCATGATCATGACAGATTACACCAGAGTCTTGGACCTGCTTCTGTTGTTCTCAAGTAAGCTGTTTGGTTTTCCTTATGTTTCTATTGGAATTGCTTTCTTCACTCTATTAAACATTATACAAATTTCTTTTTACTTATCATAGTACGATGTTTGAGAAAGAGGCTGCTTATCTTGTTCCACGGCTCCGGGATCTTGCCTTTTCTGTTGATATACGGTATGGCCTTTAGTGTAATCTATTTTACCGCATGTTACATCATAACCAAGAACATTTTCTCTAATTAACATAGAAGTTGCGCTTGAAGCAGAATATTCTTATGGTACCATTATGAAATGCAAGCTGTAAAACTTACGTGGCAAGGACATCATTTTTTTTAAGAACTTTACATGTTGAAACTCGAATTAGCTTGCTGTGCGTACGTGTATTCTACATTATGATTTTCAACACCTTTGCCCATTATCCAATATTAGATATTTGGTAAATTTATATTTCTAGTGTTCATGCTTTATCATATATAATCAGGGGTATGCCTTTCCAAGTTTAGTGTCTAGCCACTTCCACACATGCTTGATGCTAATTTATATAATAACCAATTGTTTGCATATAATTATAATTTTTCTATTAATTTGAGGAAAGAAACATAAAAAATAATTATTTGCCCATTTCAAAGTTAAAAATTTGATTCATAATTTTCGAGGTGTTTTTTTGGTGCAACAAATTTGGATGTATATTACATCTTTGTAATGTTGTTACTTTGGTTTGTTACAGAAATCACACCTGATCTTGATTTTCTCTTCAATCTTCCGCTGTGGATGATTTGTTGGTTTTGGATTAACTGCAGCTACTGCCATTTCAGTATGAGTGCTAGAGGATTTCTTTCCCGTCATCACCAACCCGCAGCTTTCTTCCCTCCTAACTTTTGAGAAGACTTCTCTAGTGGTAGGCAGCGGCTCTTTGCCTAGAATACGTCCTCTCACTTCGTCTAACTCAGCATTGAGTCAGCCAAAAATTCAAATACACGGTCCTTCTCAATTGTTTTCTTGAACTGGGCACTATCACCTGCACACTTCCATTCAAAATCATAAAAGAGGTCAAGTTCTTGCCACAAACCTTGTAATATGTTGTAATACTTTGTAACAGTCTGATCTCCTTGTCTTGTTTCTCGGATCCTTGTTTTAATTTCATAGACTTGTGCGGAATTGCCTAAGTATGAGTATGTCTCACTCACTACGTCCAATAATTCTTTGGCAGTGGAGAGATACATAAATGTCTGACCTATCTCCGATTCCATGGAGTTCACTAGCCATGACATAATCGTTGAATTTTCTGCATCCCAAACGGCATACGCTGGATCATCTTCCTTTGGGGTCTGCTTTGCACCAATTAAATAACCAATCTTCCCCCGCCCTTGGACGAACAACTTTACGTATTGAGACCACCGTAGAAAATTCTGTCCATTCAGCCGATGAGTGGTAATTTGGAGGATTGGGTTGTCACCTGAACCGGATGAAGTGATCTGGGATTTCCAAACATTTGAAGAATTGACCGAAACTTTCTCAGTGGAGATTCTAGACATCGCGAATTTAACCAAAGAAACGACGAAGAGATATAGAAGAATAAGTCTTTTATAATTCTGGTATAAACGACCAGAATTAAAGATGAATGTTTGCTGATTTTATTGGATAATCAGCAGAACAATGGAGTAATTTACCGTCCTAGTGAGGGCGGCTCTGATACCATGAACACAAAGGTGAAAAAGAATAAATTCTGATATTCTCTTTTCGTATCATATATGTTAGTTTACGGGCCTATATATATAGAAGTGTATTACGAATTCTATCTTAGGAAAAGATATAAACAGATCATAATTTCTCTAATATAATTAAAAAAAGTCAACTAACTATGGATAATTCTTAAAAATCCTCCCTAACTAATTTCCTAGCCTAGATCTTTCCACACCTACATCCACGGCACAAAGAGCCCGAAGGGCTACATCACTTTTATAATACTCTCTCAATTCATATACAATACAATGGTGGAAGCTCTTTTATTTAGGAGAAGAAATTATGAGAATGGAAAGAATTAGAAAATAGGAAACAAGGAGGAATTTTCTCCATTGATTCCTCTAGTAACACCAAATCTTCAATAATAGGAAACAACATCAATTACTAAAAGATTTTCCTCCACTGATTCCTCCATTAAGGGATCACGTAGATAAGATCCCCGTAATCATGTAGATAAGATCCCCATAATCATGGGATCACGTAGATTTTGGCATATTTTGTGTTTTTCTTTGATTTGGTTTCCTTTCTTTGTACCCTATTCTTGTATATAAATATAGCTCTTGGCTCTCGGTTTGAGTAAGCCAAAACCCAAAACTTCTTTCTTTCACTAAATAAACTTTCCAGAAGCACTATTTCTAATAATTAAGTGGCATAATAGCATGTGGATTATTGCTTAGTGTGATGGTAGAAACTTGGTCGCTAAGGGTTAGAATGTTGGTTTCTGTCTAAGAGCAGTCCCTTTGTGCATAATAATCGAGTTTGCTCTTACAAAATCTCGGTAGGTGCAACCAAGATTGGGCAATGGCCTTCCTCACATTTCACTGAATTTATCATCTGTCAAATTTTATGTCCTTAAGGAAATGATGGGTTATTAAATTGCATGATTTCTAGATATTCATACCTAGAGGAAGGTTCAGGAACACTCTCAGAAGGACTTTGGAGGCGAGCATCTGCTGCTGGTGCATACACTGCTATGGAGAAAAGAGCATTTGGAATGGCAGATGACATGTAAAGTCTCTACTCACGATTCGTGCTACAGGATTGAGTTTCTAAGCTATATGTTTACACTTTTTTCCCCGTTTGCAGATATGAAGCGGGTCTTCTTTTTGCATACTTAGCTTTTATTCCATTTTGTGAAGCAGGAATCATGGATAACCTCTCATTGCAAGTAAGATACAATATAAAAGTAGTTATATTTTCATAATAGTTTTTAGTTAGAACTTAGACACTTTATTCTATTCAGATATGGTGATTGAAGCAGTTCATTTTCCCTTTCCTAATTTTTTATGCCATAAACTTGCAGAGGCTTCTGGAAAACACTTTCCAGCTTGATCTCGAGGCTGCAAGAGAGTAAGAAGCTTTTCCCTATATTCTCTGATTCATCAATTATCATGATATTATATAATATATACATATATTTTATATGTATGCTAACACAAACGGTGCATATGTATTATAACGAGATGAGGAATTGTAGATGGCTATGGTACTGATTCTATTACTAAAGGGCCTTTTTTGGGATCTGTCCGACTGTTGGCTTTATTTTATTTTATTTTATTTTTTAATTCACTTCGGGGTCTGTTACAACTTATCGTGGATTCAGTTCCATGAGATTCATCACCCTTTTTGTTGAGTCATTATTATAAAGACTTGCTAATAAAAGCTGAAAGCTGCTTTTAGAAGCTGTATCATAAATCATTCTGAACTGTAGAAACTAAAGAGAGAGAGAGAAAACAAAGGAGGCGCAGGGCTCAGTCCCTTTTTTCCTTCTGTTATCAATATAATAAGCCCTAATACATATGGGGCTTATATACAAGAGGAAGAGTTACCTATTTACATACTAACTCACATATTATAGAGAATTACAGAATACCCCCAACTATATATATAATTACATTCTAACACACCCCCTCAAGCTAAAGAATATATATCATATAATCCTAGCTTGGTACAAATAATCTTCAATCTATGATGACCTAGAGCTTTAGTAAACATATCAGCTTGTTGGTCTTCAGACTTCACAAATGGAGTAATGATATTCCCAGTCAGTATCTTCTCTCGAATGAAGTGAATCAACTTCAATATGTTTGGTCCTCTCATGGAACACAGGATTGGATGCAATGTGAATGGCTGCTTGGTTATCACAGAACAATGGAATAGGAGATTTGATTGTCAACCCAAGTTCCTCCAGAAAATGTTGTATCCATGTCAACTCACTAGTGGTATGAGCCATTGCCTTGTACTCAACTTCAGTAGTAGACCGAGCTACCACCGTTTGTTTCTTACTTCTCCATGTAACAAGATTCCCTCCTACAAATGTGCAAAAACCTGTTGTAGACCTCCTATCTGAGGGGGATCCAACCCAGTCAGCGTCTGTAAAACCTTCGACACTAAGATGACCATTCGATTTGTATAGCAACCCAAATCCTGGAGCTTGCTTGAGGTATCGAATAATTCGTAGGACAACATTCCAATGCGGTACTCTAGGAGCTCCCATGAATTGACTTCACTAACTGCATATGAAATGTCAGGTCTGGTGATAGTGAGATAAATTAATTTCCCAACTAAATGTCGATATCTACTAGGCTCGTCAAATATATCACCCTCATTAGACCGGAGTTTTGTATTTGGATCCATAGGAGTATCAATGGGATGACCACCCAACATACCTGTTTCTTCTAATAAGTCCAACACATATTTTCTTTTAAGGCAAACTTATACCTTTCTTGAATTTAGCAACTTCAATACCCAAGAAATATCTAAGTTTACCCAAGTCCTTAGTGTGAAACCGATTTTTCAGAAACAATTTCAACTTAACAATGCCTTCAGAATCATTGCCTGTAATCACAATATCGTCCACATACACCACAGGAAGAATGGAGCCAGCATTGGTGTGCTAGTGAAATACTGAGTGATCTGTTTGGCATCTGTTAAGGCCAAATGCTAATGCAGCCTCAAAAGAATTTTCTGAACCAAGCCCTTGGAGATTGTTTTAATCCATATAGGGCTCCCTAAGGCGATAAACAATATGACGATACTACTCCTGAGCAATAAACCCAGGTGGTTGCTCCATATAAACTTCTTCAGTTAAGTCACCATGTAAGAAGGCATTTTTCACATCTAATTGAAACAACGGCTAGTTACAATTGGCAGCAATGGAGATGAAGACTCGGATAGAAGAGATCTTAGCAATAGGAGAAAATGTCTCATCATAATCAATACCATAGGTTTGAGTGTACCCTTTTGCCACAAGATGAGCCTTCAACCGTTCAATAGACCCATCATGATGATATTTAACAATTTAGACCCATTTACAACCAACCGTTTTGGAGCCCGGAGGTAAGGAAACAAGATCCCATGTCCGATTACGGTGAAGGGCATCCATTTCATCTACCATGGCTTGGTGCCAATCTGAATTAGAGAGAGCAGCCTACAAAGTCTTGGGAACAAAAGTAATTGACACTTTGGATAAAAAAACATGAGAAAGAGGATGAAACATTACTGTAAGAGACAAAGTTAGAAATGGGATGTGCAGTAACACATGACCGGGGAGCCTTACGGAGAGCAATAGGCAAATCATCAGGTATTGTAGGTGGTGTCGGATCCAATGACTCCAAAGAAGATGGAGGGAGCGAAGTAGGCGGTCGGGGGCGCTGAGTATAAACTTGCAATGGGACAACAGAGCATGGAGGATCGGGAGTAGGGAATAGAGAGGTAAGAGGTGGCAAAGGTGGCTCAGGAGTAATAGCAAGAGGAGGACTAGAATCAGAAAAATATGGGGTAGACTAAAAAAAAGTGACATTTGCACTAGTGAAATATCGGTGAAAATGAGAACTGTAGCAACGATAACCCTTCTGAGTGCGAGAATACCCAAGAAAAACACACTTAGTGGCACGAGAGTCGAGTTTGTCAAGACCGGTCCAAGGTTATGGACATAACAGACACATCGAAAGACCCGAGGAGGAAGATTAAACGACACTGAATCGGGAAATAAGACAGAATGAGGAGATTTCCCTTGTAACACCGACGAGGGCATCCGATTAATAAGATGACAGGTGGTAAGAACAACATCACTACAAAATCGTTTGGGAACATGCATATGGAATAAAAGGGCACGGCACACTTCCAAGAGATGACGATTTTTACGTTCAGAGTATAAGTGCAAGATGATTGATGATTGATGCCTTTAGCGTGAAAATAAGTCGTAAAAGGGTTCGAGAAATGTTCTTTGGCATTGTCAGAACGTAAAACTTTAATGGAACACCCAAATTGAGTTTTTATTTCTTTCCAAAATATTTGAAAAAATAGAGAATAACTCAGAACGATTTTTCATTAAAAACAACCAAGTCACACAAGAATTATTGTCCACAAATGTCACAAAATAACGAAAGCCATTAATAGAAATATGTTTGATTGGTCCCCATATATCTGAATGAACCAATTCAAAAGGACTTGCAACACAATTATGAACTCTAGGTTTGAAGGACACACGACAATGCTTACTAAGCTGACATGCTTCACAAGACAATGACTCAACACGACTAAGACCGGGGACTTGACGCTGCAAAACGGATAATGATGGGTGGCCAAGACGACAGTGCCACTGGAAGGAAGACAGGGACGACTGAAGAGCCGTGGGAGATGGGTCAAAATCAAGGTAGTACAACCCACCAACTTCATGTCCCGTACCAATCTTCTTTTTCGTTGTGAGATCCTGAAAAATACAACATGTGGGATAAAATGTAATGGAGCAATGAAGAGATTTAGTAATTTTACTAATAGACAACAAATTAAAAGGAAATTGAGGAACATATAAGACAGAGGAGAGAGACAAAGAAGATGTGAGATGAGTGGTTCCTAAACCCGAAACTTTATTGGATGAGCCAATGGCAAGAGTAACATTTTGAGATGAAGGAGCAGAATGAAAATCAGATAAGAGATGATAGCTACCAGTCATGTGATCAGATGCTCCAGAGTCAAGAATCCAGGGATTCGAACAAGAGGACAAGAGACATGCAGGCGCACTACCGGATTAGGCATATGAAAGCATGGAAGATGGGGTAGAAGTCCGTTGTTGAGACATAAGCTGAGCATACTCATCGCGGGGAATCGTAACCTTGGAAGGCTTAATAGCTAAGTGTGAAGCAGTTGGTGTCGTAGAGAAAGAAGAATCCCCTTTAGTAGAGGTCACCTGATGTGCAAAGGTAGAAGGTGGCAGTTTCCCATGAAGAGCCCAACAGTAATTGATGGTGTGATTAATAAGACCACAGTGAGTACAGATTCTCGAGTCTCTACCTTTGCCACGGCCACGGCCACGGGTACAACGACCACCACCTCCACGAGAAGATTGAAAGCCACTCTGGGAGACAACCAAAGCAGAACGTTCACTGGTAGGAGGAGTAGGAACATCGCTTGAAGTACCCCCTGAAGCTCCACTGGATAGAGTAGCACACTGAAGTCTGGAAAACATATCAGGAAGAGAGGAAAGTGTAGAACTACCCAAAATCTGTGCCCGAACGGGTTCATACTCTGGTGACAACCTTGTGAGAAGGTGATGGGCTGATACAAATTCATTTCTTCACAAATTCCCATGGGCCGTGAGAAGTATTCCTTAAGACTCTGAGTACCCTGCTAAAGATCAAAGTATTGTCTACATGCCTCATAAATTCTGGTGATATTACCAGTACCCGAATATAATTATTGCAGACGGTTCCATATCTCCTTGGCAGTGTCCAAATACAATAAGTTGGAGCTAATATGAGGTTTAATACAATTCAACATTAAAGAAATAATCTGAGCATCCCTTTGTTCCCATGAAGCGAAATCAACATCACTATCTTTAGGTTTATCCTTAACTAAATGGGTGCCAAAGCCTTTGGCTTTCAGGAAATGGCGACTGACTTGGCCCCATAAGACATAATTCTTGCCATTGAGCTTGACTAAAGTCATGGGAAAATTGAGAGAAGCAGAGGAAGAGAGCAAGTCTGCACTGGTGGCCATACCGAACCAGGAACCCAGAAGAGAAGAGAAGCTGACCAAAAAAAATTATCGAACCTGAAGAAAGGTCCGAATCTGGATTTGGGTATTCAGGCCGAAGCTGTAGGCGGGTATTCGGGCCGAATTTGGATTCGGGTATGCGGGCCAAATCTGGGTAACCGGGTCGTATAGGGATCCAGTGTAGTTGGACACAACCGAGCTCTGCAACTTTCGGCCAGAAAAGAAAACCATCGACCAACGAACTGATTCATAAGAAGCGAGTAATTCTGCAACACGACGGGTGACGGCGAAGACTACAAATTGACCGCCGACCACAAAATAGGCACGGACGGCAAGTTGTAAAGAAGAGAAGA